TTTTTTTGAGAGAGGGTCTCTCTGTGTAGTTGAGATTGACCTGGAACTCACTATGTCGAACTCACAGCGATCCTCCTGCCTCAGCCTCCCAAGTGCTGGGATTACAGGCTTGTGCCACCACACCAGGCTTACCAGTATCTTCTTTTTTTTTTTCCTCATTGAGTTTGTTGGTACATTTTAGGTATACAGTACATTTACATTCATCATTGGGATCTTGTACCTTTACATGACAGGTCTTGGTTCTCATTTTTTCCCCTTACCCCTGCCATCCCTTCACCCCCTCCTCCCTTCCCTATTTACAAATACTTTATCCAATTTTTAATTTTCTCATATTTTTTCTTTCCCCTTATTTCCTTTCCCATATCCTTCCCACTTCCCCTACAACTTTAGCCCTTTTCTTCCTATTTCACATTGTCAATTATACCATTAGGATCTTATGTACCATTTCACACTAGAGAAACTATTCAATATTTATACATTTGTGACTTATTTATTTCACTTAAGTGTATATCTCAATATGTTTCCATTTCCCTACGAATGACTCTAATGTCTCATTCTTTATGGCTGAGTAGTATTCCATTTTATAGAAAAAGCACATCTTCTTTATCTAGTCTCTAATTGATGGGCAAATGAGCTGTTTCCAAGTTTTAGCTCTTACAAATTACGCCGCTATAAACATAGGTGCACATATATCACTATGTTATGATTCTTTTAATTCTTTTGGAAAGATACCCAGCAGAGGGATGGCTGGGTAAAACGGAACCTCTAAGCCTATTTCTTTGAGGTAGATTTTTCCATAGATGTTCATTAACAAGATTGGCCTGTAATTCTCTTTTTCAGTTGGATCTTTCTCTGGTTTTGGTTTCAGGATGATACTTGCTTCCAGGAATGACTTTGGGAGTACTGCTTCCTTTTTAATTTCATTAAAGAGTTTGAGGAGTATTGGCATTAAGTCTTCCCTAAAGTTCTTGTAGAATTTGTAGTGAATCTGTGGAGACCTGGACTTTTCTCAGTTGGTATCCTTTTTTTTTTTTTTTTTAACTTTTACAATTTCATTGACTGATACTGGATTATTCAGGATTTTTTATCTTCTTGGTTCAGCATTGATAGTTCACACGTAACTAGAAATTTATCAATTTCTTATGAATTTTCTACTTTATTAGAGTACAGGTTCTTAAAGTAGTTACTGATGATCTTTTGGATTTCAGTAGAATCCATTGTGATTTTGCCTTTTTCATTTTTAATTGCGTGGATTTGGATTTTTTCTTTCATATTTTTGTACTCTTGGCTAAGGGTTTGTCTATTTTGTTTAATCTTTCATAGAACCAGCTCTTTGATCTTTAAAATCTCAATTTCATCAATTTTCTGCTCTGATCTTTAGAATTTTCTTCCTTGTACTAAGTTTGGATTTGGATTATTTTTATTACTTTAGGACTTTTTGTTTTGTTTTGTTTTGTTTTTGAGACAGGGTCTCATATGTAGTTGAGAGTGATCTAGAACTCATTATGTAGCCCAGGCTGGTCTTGAACTCACAGCGATGCTCCTGCCTCACCCTCCCGAGTGCTGGGATTACAGGCATGCACCACCATTCTCTCTTGACTTTTTTATTAAGGAAAAATGTAGGTATACACAAAGATTAAAGACCAGTGCAAGGGCCCACATGTCCTCCTCATTAACCAGCTTCAACAATGATGACGTCTTTTCAGTCAAGTACATTCATCCCGGAGTGTGAGGAGCAGTGTTTTGCATCTAGAGCTCTGACAGGTTTCTCTAAGTGGAGAAGCCCAGGCAGTTAGAACTGTCCACTGGAATTCAGGTTAGAATGTTGGCCTCTGGGGTCATCTTTGCTTCTTACCTTTAGGACTTTAGCTAATCCTGTTTGTGTTAATATGATTTTAGAATCCATGACTTAGTCACTTTCCTCATTGCTGGGACAAACTACCCGACACCCATGACTAACAAGGAGAAATTTATTTGGATTCACCCTTAAGTTCATGGCCAACTGGATCCAAGGCAGGAAGGCATAATGTGTAATGAAAGGCATGGCAGTGGGAAGCTGCTCACCGCATGGTGAACAGGGAGCAGGAGGTGAAGGGAGTAGCCCAGAAGGGGGAGATGCCCTTCTAGGTCATGCCCTCAGTGACCTACCTTTTTGGACTAGACCCCCACCTCCTAAAAACAAGTCAACTGTAATGCCCCCGTAATCTAATCTGCTTCCAAAAGCCCCACTTATGAGTGCGTGAAGGTCTGGGGAACATCTGGACATAAACCACAATAATCCATTTGCGCTATTTGTCTTCCGTAAGAGTTTCTGAGATTCTTCGATGGTGGTGATAGAAAATATCCTATAAATGGGACAGTAAGCTTACAGATAATTGAGACCACACTGTTTAAGTGACAGAAATCTAAATGAATGCTCCTTTGCTCTGTATATGTAGGCACTTAGAGATCTTTTTTTCTGCAGGTGTTTGAAGCCCAAGAATGTGAACGAATAAACTTCTTACGGAATGCACTGTGGTTACATTTGAATCAGCTGTCACAACAATGTGTCACCAGCGATGACGTAAGTCAGAGCCATCTACAACGGCTGTGGCTCTGCATGTTTGATTTGTTAGAGGGAAAGAACTGTAAACACTTCCTTGTTCATCCTACTCCACTGCTTTCATTTGAGGTCCAGAGAGGTAAAGTGACTTGTTCAAGGCCACACGGTGATGTGATATAAACATGCCATCTGCCCGACTCCTGGTCCATTTTACTACCATAATTAGAAATAATTAACAAATTCAGAGTTAGGGCAGGAAAACAGAGAAGGGATCCCAAACACGGATTAATGTTTGGAAGATAGAGATGTCATGGCATGAATGCAAATCCCATTTCCAGTCTGGGATAGGATCACTCAGGCCATCACCCATTACTAGCATCCTGACCTCTGTGTAGGGTAATGGCTTCTCCAGGGCTTAAAGTTCTCTCCCACAGCATTCCCAGGGCCATTATCCAGGATGAAGCAAAGCAATAGCAACTGGGGCCCCAGATCTTAAATCATCACAAGCTTCACTGCTAAGAGATAGAGCCACTGTCACCTCGATGGAACATTCCATTTAGAAGAATGATTAAATTTACTCATAGAAATGAATGGGAGAATGTTATTTTTCAAGTTAAGGAATTGTCTTTGTAGTTGTATGTGATGTTGATCTTGTGTCATGGGATTTGGTATCTAGTTTTTGGTTCCATTGGTTTTGTTTTTGTTTTTGCCGTCCTGGGGGTTCAACTTAGAACCTTGTGCTTTAGAGGCACCACTGAGCTAAATCCCCAGCCCTTCATCAGTTTTTGGGTTTTTTTTTTACCTTTTTTTCAGCAAAATCTTTAATTGCCACAAAAAATACATTTTCTAGAATCTTTTAAACAATTTAATAGCACAAATGTACCAGAGCAAAGCCTTTATATGAATCAGGGGCTTGGGAATTTTTTTTTCTTTTCAATACAACAAAATTTGGAAAAGAGCCATTCAACACTTCCATTTCTAAAGAACCATGTCACAATTATCATCAACATACCTTTACTTAATTATTTATTTTCTTTTTGTTAGATGTATGAACAAGTCCGTAAGAGTTTAGAAATGTGCAGCATTGAGAAGGACATTGAGTTCTTTGTGAATCAACGCAAAACTGGCCAGATTCCACCAGGTGAATGGGGTGGCAGGGTGGGCAGGGCTATATGTAAACAATTCTGTTTGTCTTTTTTGTCCAATGTTACTGAGGACATAAGACACTTGCTCTGTTAGCTTTCTGTTATTGTAACAGATACCTCGGATAAATCAGCCAATAAGAGAAAAGATTTATTTTAACTTATGGTTTTGAGTTTTCAGCCCATAGTGGATTGGCCCCTTTGCTTATGGGCCTGTGGTGAGGGTGCATGTCATGATGGTGTGGGTATGGCAAAGCAAATCATTCATCTCATGGCCAGAATGTGAAAGCTAAGGAGGAAGAGACCAGGTTCTCACACTCTCCTCACAGTGACCTGAAGACCTCCCACTAGGGCCCGGCTCTTAAAGGTTCTGCCACCTCTCAATAGTGCCAAGCTGGGAACCAGGCCTCCAGCACATGGACCTTGGGGGATATTCTGGAACTAAAAGATAACACATGCTTCTTACTGTTTTTTTTCTCGATGCTCCTTTTAGCACCAATTCTGTATGAGAATTTCTACTCTCCCAACCGGAATGCAGCCGCACCAGGAAAGGCTATAGGAGCTAATTTAGCAAGGTAATAGCAGTCTGCCTTTCACATGAAAAAAAAAAAAAAACCCTTTAAATTAGCTATTTTATTATTAATGTTTTAAGACAGTCCTGTGTAGTGGTGCATGGCTATAATCCTAGAACTCTGAGAGGCTGAGGCAGGAGCATTACAAGCTTGAGCCAAGTCTGAGCAATTTAGTGACTCAGTGAGACCCTCTCTTAAAATTTAAAAAAATAAATAAGCAAAAAGTGCTGGGGATATAGCTCAGTGTGAAGGCCCTGGGTTCGATTTCTGGTGTTGGGGGAATAAAAAGAAAAAAAATATTCTGAGATATATTGTATTTTTAAAGTTTGTTTTAAATTGACAGATAAAATTATACATATTTATCATTTGTAAGACGTTAAAGTTTAAACATATACAACACTGCCTTTGCTTAGCAACACTGCTAGCTTTTTGGACATAGCACTTTTAGGACAAACATTAAATGAATTTTATGAGTCATAGTTCAAGGAAGATTATGTCATGCTTGAACGTTATCATTCATTACTTGTTTATGAATCTTATACCTTTCTTATAGCCTGTAGAAAGCAAGAATCAGCAAACTATGGTACCCTGTGCAACAAATCTGATTTACTTGTTTTTGTAGAGCCTAATTAAGAAAAATTTTTACATTTTTAAATGGCTGTAGAAAATCAAAAGGATACTATTTAATGATATGTGAAAATTATATGCAATTCAAATTTCAGTGTTCATATAGAGTTTTATGAGAACACAATACCCTTAGTAGATTTTGTTTTTTCTGTGGTTGCTTTCCCTTGAGAACTGAGTAGCATTGCAACAGAGGGGGTGTATGGTCAGCAAAACCTAAATTATTTACTGTTGGGCCCTTTATAAGGAAAATGTGCTGTCCCTCATGTAAACAGTCCTGAGGGGAGAGAAACTTAGTTGGAAGACTAAATTGTTTAATTTTCCAACTAGTTTCAAGAAAGATGGGACATGTTTGGGAGGGATTGCATGCTCCTTATCAATAGTTAAGAATTGAATTAGTCACTGCTCAAAACATGTAATACAAATTAGCTGATTTAATTTTCATAATAAAGTAGGCGCTGTTTGTATTTTCTGTTCTACATAGAAGATACTGTTGCACAAGGAGACCAGTAAATCTTGCTCACACAGCTAGATTTTAATCCTTCCAGCCTGGGTTGCAGAGTTAGAGCTCTGTGCTCCTGACCACTATGCATAGTGTCCCATATCTGTCGGCACCTTGGATTTCAGTAGGTCAGAGATATATAGCTCATTTACTTCTGAGCTTTCTTGACTCTCCAATGCAGAAACATAAGCTGATTAAAGTAGCTCCTTGGAATACAATATGCTTGTAGCATGAAGTAGAATATTATAAAAATAACAAGATATCTGAAATACTTTGGTTTTCATTTCTTATAGGAGAGGACCTCTCCCAGTTCCTAAAAGTTTTCCATCAGGTATGCCATCAAGAAAAGCCTTTTGAGGGCTGGGGATGTAGCTCAGTGGTGCCACTGCCTGCCTGGCAAATGCAAGGTCCTGAGCTTGATCCCCAGTACCAAAAAAGAAAGAAAGAAAAAAAGAAATTTATTTGGGCTGGGGATTTAGCTCAATGGTTCTGCCATCTGCCTCCAAAGCACAGGTCCCAAGTTTGATCCCCGGTACCAAAAAAACAAAACAAAAAAAAGTCTGAAGTTCTTATGTCAGATTTTCTTTAGGATTGGATAGCTAGAATTTTGAAATAAGGGGAATAAAATGATTAAATTGAATCAAATTCCAAAGAGAATAAACCTATATTCGAATTTTACTATATATAGTGTGTCAGAGTCAAATTTGATAATTGGTCTATTTTATAGCTTATCCAAGAGAATTCAGCTGCTAAAGTATCAAAAGAAACTTACTATAAGACAGTTTTAACAAAGATTATTTTAACTTGGACCAGGAGTACAGCAGAACTGAGATAAAGTTCTCTTTGGATTACACAAACATATAATTTATAGATGGTAAAGATATACAGAAATATGAATTTAATATTATATATTTAATATTATATATTTGTTCCCCTATGGGGGACCTTTCAATAATCACATTGCTTCTTCTCTCTCTATCTCTATCTGTCTCTCCTCAACTCCTCTGACACCTCTGGGAGAGACCACACACCTTAACATCTTCCGTTACCCTTATTTCTTTGATAATTACAAGATCCTTGAGGGCGGGCACTTCATCTTTTCTCGTATCACTTTCAACACCTAACAGGGTAGGTCTCAAAAAATACTTACTCTTAGCAGAAAAAAGGCTCACCTATCTACCTTCAAAGGAATGAGAGAAGAGGACATCTTATGCTACATTTGGCAGCTCAGTAAAAATTTAATGACTGATAGAAAATTTAGTGGCTTAAATATTAACTTTGAATACTGTGATAATTTATGTTATTTCTTGTTACCTTATTACCACTTGATAATGCAGGGCTTAATTTTTGTCCAGTTTTGAAGATGACTTTAGTGTGAATACTAATATCTGGGCATGGATGAAAAATGGCAAAGTCATAATAGTGATTTCCAGAATGTTCTTCAGTTTGTAGCCATGACTACCAGTTATAGGTTTTGTTGTCAGATATATTTTCTCCTTTTGAAAGAGCAGTTACCCAATCTTTAAGTGAAATGCCTTAGCTTGAGGAGAGCTAAGATGAGCTAAGATCTTATTACAAAAAAAGTATGAGTCTAAACTTGTTCTGTGTTTTTCTCTTTGCAGATGACCCTGATTATTCTTTGGTTTCTGACTACAGTTTACTCTATCAGTAATACCAGAGGTAAGAACCTTTAACCTTCACACAATCAAGTTGAACTTTGACTGGCGACTGTGTTTCTGAAGACATGGAAGCTTCTTTATGTCACTGCCACGAAGGAGCCAGCCCTTGTATCAGGGTTGCACACTGGTTGGGGGTGGTGTCCCTGCAGGCTGGCCTCTCTGGAAGCTGATGGGAAACCACTCTATACATATTTGAATGAGGGCATTTCCCTTTCATTAACTATCTTATGACTTTGCTCTTGTTAAACTTTTTGCAGCTATTAGGAATTTACATTTAGGCATGATCACAAGCAAAACACACAAGAGCTCCACTGTTGAAGTCATTTAATCTTTAGAGAACCCCCTCCTTCTCCTAAAAGCGGGAAGTCAAGTAAAAAGAAGTTGTGAAAACAATGTAGATGTAACACTCACCAAACATCACAGAACCATGAGGGTCACCCTGCACCAGATTATCACTACTACAAACTAGTAAACCACAAGGATTCTCTGAGGAGAACTGAGCACTACTAAACCACCACAGCTGCAAAGATGACCCACATAGCAGCTGATTCTCTTGGCCCTCAGGTGCTTGGAACATGCCCCAAGTCAAAAGCGGTCTTGTCAACCGTGAAGGAAGGCCTCAGAAGCCAAAATAGCAATATTAAATGAAACTCCTTATAAAGTATATGATACTTAAATTAAAAAAAAAGAAACCCTACAGTTACATTCATCATCAGGATCTTGCACCTTTATATGATGTATCTTGGTTCTTATTTAACTGTATTTTTTATCTTAAATGTACCAAATAACTTAATGGAAAAAAATAAGAAAGGAAAAAAAAAAAAAAACCCAAACAGGTATATCCTGGAGTAAAACCATATAGCTGTATAAGAACAAAGAGAAAAATCTGAAAGGATGTGTTCTTAAACAGGTAACATTTCTTTTTGGTTATCTTGTTTTCTAATTTGTCCACAATAAGAATGTTCTACTTCTTTGAGTAAAAACTGTTTTGAAGAACTGATCCATTTCCATTTCCCAGACTTTGTGTGTTCCTGGAAATGACCAGAAGTGGGTGGGCTAGGTACAGGAAGTCATAAGAGAACTGGAACAGCTTCTCTCTCACCCTTCCTGGCTTGGTATTGGTAATATTTACTATCAGTTATGAAACAAAACAGGTTTAACCTATGGCGATTTCCTACAGTGTTTTATCCAATGAAAAATACTTGGAAGGTGGCCCATGGAATGTTGCTTTCATCCTTTGAAAAATCTACTTTGTGTGGGGTGTGGTGGTACATGCCTATAATCTGAGCATTGTGGGAGCTGAGGTAGGAGGATCACACATTTGAGCCCAGCCTAGGCAACTTAACAAGACTGTCTCAAAAAAAAAACAAAAAGAGGTTGGGGATGTAATTTATACAAAAGCCTTAGTTAGGTTCATCCCCAGCACTGCAAAACAAAATAAAATGCCTATTTTGTGCATATAGATAATAAGCTATATAGAACAGAAACCAAATTGTCTTAATCAGGTAGAAATACTTAGCTAGCTTCTATTTATATTTAAATATATGTTTTAAAATTGCTTAGGAAATATATTTAATATTTAAGTAGAATTGTTATAGAAATATGGAAATTGAAGACACAATATTTCATTTCTTAACTAGATACAATTTTCTGACCCACAAATAAATTGTAGTTTTTACAACCACTTATCATTTTTTCTTCATTCATAAACCTCCCTCTTTCTCACAGGTGCAAACCCCTGATGAAAGGCAGAGCAAAAATACCATAAATAGAACCATGACTTCATATTCAAAGCAAAACCTGCTCTCGGGGATGGCTTGTGTGGCAGGGAATTGGGAGTGCCAAGGGTTTCTTTTTATATTTTTACCTCTTTCCTGCATTAACCTGTTTGGGTAAAGCATACATGATGACATAGGAAAATACAGTACATGTTTAAATTAAGCAAATTAATTACAGTAAAAGATACATTGTCATTAATCCCCATCAGGGTACTCCTCCTTGTTTCAGACACATCCATTTCATCATTCTTGCCACTTTCTGAAGAAGTTCTGCAAGTCCTTTCTTCCCTCCCTCCCTTTCTTCCTTCCTCCCTTCCTCCCTTTTTTGGTTTGGTCTCTTGAGACAGGGTCTTACTGTTTAGTTCAGACTAGCCTTGAACTCATGAAGATCCTCCTGCCTTAGCTTCCAGAGTGCTGGGATTATAGATGTGCACTACCACTCCTGGCTTGGAATTCCTTTTTTCTTGAGTGTCTTTAGTTGTGCTGTCCTGACTGCCTCAATGTTCTAAATCAAATCAAATATTTACCTTTCATGGTCATTTTGACTTTGGAGAAGAGCCAGAATTCTCATGGTCCCAGATCTGGTAAATAAGGTAGATAACTATACACTGTAATGTTTTTACAAGTCTGCCTTTTTGTTGGATGGCATTTGACAGATTTTTTTTTTTTTTTTAGTACTGGGGATGGAACTCGGGTCCTTGTGTTTGTGAGGCAGGTGGTGGAACCACTGAGCTAAATCCCCAGCCCTTCGACAGTTATTTTTGATCATACCTTATGAAGATGCTGATCCCTACATAGTTACTTGAGTTGTTTTTCTTAAGTTGTATAATAGTAATATCCATGCCCACTCAATTAGTAGGAGCTCACATATACATGTAAAATTATCTGAGTTTCAGAAAACAAAAAGAAGGAACTTTTGATTAGTTGATAACATCTTATTATAATATTTAAAATAGTTTGAGTGAAGCTTTGGAATTGAAATTTAAACAGAATAATTTAGGAATTTTTTATTTGTTCTGCAATTGTTGATTTTTGCTTCTATTCCTGTTCTAAATTCTAACATGTTTAGGGAAAGATGATAATTTTTAAATTTAAAAATGCACACAAAATATAAATACATAAATTATTTATCATAAAGCATTGCTGTTATGATTGTATTCCATCCCTTGGAGTATCAATTCCTTACCATTTGTTTTCCTTGGCTGTGTACACTTAAGCTTGTTAATACACTCTCAAGGTAGAAGCAGGTGATGCCATGAATAGGTTATTCACATAACACTTCTTATTTTCTTTCAGAAAAGAAATCTTTCTCAAGCTATTGCTTCTATGGGATGGAACGAGGCATGCAGAGCAGCAGAATCTGTAGTCAAATTTTGTTGATCAAGAAGACTTTGAAGTGAACCCCTGCTGTAATTTCTTGATATTTTAAATTTATAGTAGACATTTAGTTCAACTTAAGCTAGTAGACTTCTGCAGTTTTTTGATGATGTTTACAAATTGCTCCAGATTGAAGAATTATTCTTTCCCAGTCAGCTACTAAGGTTGTGAAGGAATTGTGTTTCCTACTTGGGAAATAGGGCCATCTCTGGATTCAAGTGTTGGCTCTTTGAGGAGGGGGCAGTGTGGCTGGAGAGGAGTCAAGTCATCAGCTGTAGAAGAATTTCCTTTGCTTTGGGCAGCATGGTGATGGAATTTCCACAGTGACACAATGTCATATGGTGCAAGATTTAAAATTACCTTCCTTTCAGCTGGAAGGCTTAGAAGCCATTTGATTGCACTTTCTCATTTTATAGGTGAAGAAATGAGGCCCAGAAGTTTAAAATCAATTTTCTTAAAGTTGTGCCAGCTGATTAGCAGCAGAAATGGATCTAGAGCATAAGCTCATTTTGTATCACCATTCTCCTAACTCATGAAGCTGCGATTCTCATGCTAAAATTTAAAATGCCTAATTTTGTGAGCATTTTTTAATTGAGAAAATTACCAGGATTTAAATGTTAGATTTATTTTTATATGAATCATTGTATACTGAGCTACAGAGCAGCATATTTAATCTAAGAAGCCATAGATTATAAAATATATCATTATATTATGTACTACTAAGAAGGTAGATAGGAGAGTTGTCAGTTAATTTGAAACAGGTAACATTCGTGGCCAAGCCTACTTGAATCTGAGATAATAAAGTGATAAAAACATCCTAAAATCAATGAAATATGGTATTTTCAGTGCCCCTCAAGAGAATTTCAGAGTTCCAAAGACAGTCTTCAGTCCTGGATCTTCACTGAGAATCTTTTGTTTGTTAGACCCTGGAATCTAACTCTTCTGCAAATATTTGGGTCTTGCTTTGTTACTCACAAACAGCAGGGAGAGGTTATTACCTTTTGTACAACATTTGCACACTGAGAACTATATACATTTGAATGAATGACAAGATAAAATAGCAGTGCTATTTATTTGTTATGTTGTGCTCTATGTGACTACAAAAAAAAGCAAGTATTTTCCCTTTCCTGCTTGGTGTAATAGCTTTCTCAGAACTATGGATACATTGGTTAAAAGAAGATTGATTTTTTTCCCCTCCTCTAATATGAAGTGCTGCTGAATGTGGCAGCTTCTCATGAAGGAAACTTGCATCAATTGTATATCCTTTTGAGAAATTCAAGTTTGCAAAGGGCCATTGACTTCCTCTAACTGAATGGGCTCAGGAAATTTTCTTATACACTCACAATGGTCTATTTTAAAATATATTATTTATTGTTGGTAATTCCTCAGGGATTTCCCTTTTCTATCAGTGAGTGTAATTGATGTAAGAGTGTTTCATAAGTGGGAAATAATATTTTTATTGCTCTGTCAGTTTGATATGAAGTAAAATAAAGTTTTCTCTTCAAAGCTTTATGTGACCTCCACCCTTGTCATATTTGCAGTTATTAGACTAGAAAAACAAACTGCTGGTCAGGGAGGTCATGTATCAAATTCAGTGTTACTTCACTGAGATATGTATATAACATACAGCATTTTTAGGGGAACTTAAGTGTACTGCAGTTAGTAGGATGTTTGATCTAGGTCTGTGCACAGTGAGGGAGTTATGGGCTATAGAGTTTACATTCAGGTTTAAGGAATTCTGTCACAGGGCTGGGGTCAGTTTATTCAGTAAACATATTTATGAGCATCTGGGCATGCTTCAGGCTCTGGCTTGGGCTCAAGCTTGCTGGGAAAAACCTGTAGTTTC